CAAGTTCTTTCTTTTCTGTTTATCATAATGTTGTCTCTTGGTGCATTTGTGAGGCTTTTTGTTTCTTTGCATTGAGTTATAATTCATATTGAAAACTGCATTCTTTGATCTTCATCAGTAAGCAATCAAGCTTGTGTCATATGTATGTATATCACAGGTTGTTAATGAAGTTTTCTTCACTCCTGATGCCTTATGATGTTCTACATATAGTCCAGGTTCTCAGATTATTTGCTCAACATAGAATTGAATAAGTATAGTGGGAATATACAACACTGACCCATTTACCTTATTTTAAACTACTCAGTATCACCTTATATTCAAAGTCTGCCTCTTGGTCTATGTACAGATTTTGCATGAGCACAACTAAATGTTCTGGTGTTCCCATTGTTTGCATTTTATCCATAATTTATTATGATCCACACAGTTGAATGCCTTTGCATAATTAATAAAATAAAAGTAAACGTCTTTCTGGTATTCCTCTGTTTTCAGTTAGGATCTATCTGAAATCAGTAATGATATCCCTGATTTCACATATTCTTTTGAATCTTAGTTTGAATTTCTGCCAGTTCCTTGTCAATTTACTGCAGCAATTGGTTTTTCTTTTTTTTCCAGCAAAATTACACTTGCATGTAATGTTAATGATATTGTTCAATGATTTCAACATTCTGCTGGATCACTTTTCTGGAATAGGTATGAATATGTTTCTCTTCCAGTCAATTGATCATGTAGCTGTCTTCCAAATTTCTTGGCATGGATGAATGAATGGCCACCTCCAGTGCTACAGCAGTTTTTTGAAACATTTAATTTGGTATTCAGTCAGTTCCTGGAATTTTGTTTAGCTACTGCTTTTAATGCAGTTAGTACTTCTCCCTTCACTACCATCTATTTTTTACAAAATGACTACCTTCTAAAGTAACTATATTCTTTCCAACTTCTTTGAATGCTTTTGCCCTTGGATCCTTGAGGCTTGGATTTTTCTTCAGTTCTTTTAGGTTGAGAAATGGTGAACATGTTTTTTTTGTTCTTTCCTCTTAGTTTTTTAACCTTAAGTCTTTGCACATTTCATTATACTTTATTTTGTCTTCTTGAGCTGCCCTTTGAAATTTTTTATTCTAGTAACTCTTTTTCATTTCTTCCATTTGCTTTAGCTATTCTACATTCAAAAGTAAGTTTCAGAATCTCTTCTGACATCCATTTTGGCCTTTTCCTACTTTAATTACTTTTTCCTTTCGTCATGTATGATGTTCTCAATGTCATCCTGCAACTTGTTTTCAGTTATTAGATTCAACTTACCAACTCTCTTCTTGAGATGGTCTCTAAATTCAGGTGGAACATACTCAAGGTCATATTTTGGCTCTTTTGGACTTATTTTAATGTTCTTAAACTTTAACCTGAATGTGCAGATGAGCAATTGTAGGTCTGTTCTATAGTTGGTAACTTTGTTTTGTTTTGGCTGATGATACTGAGCTTCTCTATTCTTCACATGATGTAGCCCTTGTGGTTCTTGTATGTTCCACCTGGTGAGGGCTACATGTATAGTTGTTTTTATGTTGTTGAAAAAAGGTCTTTACAATGAAGAAATTGTTGGTCTTAAAATTCTATCATGCAGTCTTCAACTTAGTTTCTATTACCAGGGTCATATTTTCCAACTAGTATTCCTTCCTCTGTTTCCAATTGGCAGTAATTATCAATGCATCTTTACATATTTTGTCAGTTTCATCGAGAAGTTGGTAGAACAATTTCTTCATCGACTGTAGATGCTTGGCTGGTAAATTTGAATAATAACATTCACTGGGCTCCTTGTACACTTATGTATATATTACCCCATTGCAGACAGCACTGTACTTCAAAATAGATCATGAAATACTGTTTAGGATGATGAATGTGACACCATTCCTCTTGAATTTGTCTTTTCTGGAATAATAAACCAACCACATGATTATCCGATTTTAATGGCCAATACCAACCCTGTGCTCACTAATGTCTATGATATCTATCTTTGTGCATTCATTTATTTTTTGATGACTTCAAATTTTCCTAGAGTCACTCTGTACACATTCCACATTCTGATTATTGTTTGTTTTGTAGCTGTGTCTTCCTATGTCGAGTTCTGCCCCATCAGTAAATGAAAGTCCTGAAAGCTTTACTACATCTATGTCATTAAAGTTGACACTACTTGGAAGTGTATTTTTCCTCAGTTATACTTTAAACCCTAGTCAATTTTGGTCTGGAAGCCCACTGAAACCTGTCCACCATGTGTGACCCAACTGATATTTTAGGTACCGGTAGCATGGCTCCCACCATAACAACATCATGCGAACCACAACAGTATAACAAACTGCCAGATGAGTGGTGGCCCTGTTATGATAGTAGAGTGTAATGTATGGGCCTATGGATTGTGGAGTCCAGCTGTTTTTGAGTTAGAATCCAGGCTGTGTGACTTTGGAGAAGTACTTACCCTCTTTAGATCTATTTCATCTGCCAAGTGAGGAAATGTTGTTAGCGACCATCGAGTCAGCTCGGACTCATAGCAACACTGTGTAAACCGAAAGACACAGCTCAGTCCTGTGCCAACCTCACTGTTGTTCTTATATTTGAGCTCATTGTTACAGCCATTGTATCAATCCATCTTGTGGAAGGCCTTTGTCTTTTTCACTGCCCCTCCACATTACCAAACATGAAATCCTTCTCCAGGAACTAGTCTCTCCTGATGACATGTCTAAAGTTCATGAGAAAAAGTTTCATCATCCTTGCCTCTAAGAAACACTCTGGCTGTACATCTTCCAAGAAATATCTGTTTGTTCTTTTGGCAGTCTGTGGTACTTCCAGTATTCTTCACCAGCACCATAATTCAAACATACCGATTCTTCTTCAGTCTTCCTTATTCAGTGTTCAACTTCCCCATGCATGGGAGGTGTTTGAAAATACCATGACTTCCTGGGTAGACTCTATGAATGCATTTCTTCCCGACCCTTGGTGACCCATCCATGGACTAAATAGCATGATGACCTTGGACGATGACCGTGCAGGCAGCATGGCATAAAGCAGGGGCTACACCAGAAAGACTTAACATAAAGGTCCGGCTGAATGAACTAAGCCCTGCCCCAAAGTTGCCTGTACCCTAGGACTGGGGACTGAGATATTTGGAAGGGAAAGGACACAGAGAGGGGCTGCTCCAGGACTGTGGAAGTGGCAGTCACTGGACCTTAAGGGGACCCCCTAGCTTGGGGGATGTCCCAGAATCACCATATATTTAGTAACTCGATACCCCCCTCCTGGTGACATGACAGGTTTTGATATGTTGGGGAAGGAACTGCTCATGGAAGAATGGATCCAGGAAGTGTTCCTGGCCCCAAGCCTCATAACTTGGGTAAACAGCACTCTAGAATGGGAGGTCAAACTGCGCAGGCAACAATACATGGGCTGCAGCCCCAGGTGGATCTGTACTCACATAGACTACTCTGACGGACAGTGTGGGAAAATCAATGCCATCTGTGCAGTCACCTTATGCCCCACGGGGATGACTGACAATGTTGTACTTTTTTTTTTGTTTATATGGGTTTTTGTTTTCCTACCTTTAGCTTGTGTTTTCTTTTTTTTTTTTCTTTGCTTGCTTGCTTGATTATATACTCGTTGGTTTGCTGCTGGTGCTAATGTAGTGAATCATATGGGGGTTCGATTTTGTCATAAGACAGCTGCCAAAGTTGACCTCAGTCACACATATTCCGTGGGCAAGCAGATGGATTCTGGGCACCTACTTAACTCTAGCTCTAGTACAAGAACAGTATGTTCTGATAACATGGCCTAGCTCGATTCTTGCTTCATGAAGTGATCACTGAAAATAAAGGTGCTACAGCAAAGTGTGATGAAGAGAGCAGATGGTGCCCAGCTATCCATCTGAATAGTGTCTGGGTTCGTAAAGGCTTGCATTCAATCATGCAGCCATCTAAGCAAGGAGTCACCTAAATCCACATGGAAGAAGCACACCAGTTTGTGTGATCCAAAGATGACAAGTACAAAATTCAGATAAGATGAAGAGAAAAATATCAGAGCTTAAATTGTGAACACCCAATTTGTGAAAGGCAGTGGAGGACAGTGGGAGCCAAAAGCCATCTGTAGACTATCTAGTCAGATTAAGGCTGCTGGCAGATTCCCCCACTACCCACAGACATAGACCATTGTAATTCTGATTAGGCTGGCTAAAACTTGATACTTGGCCAGTTGACCTCCCTGTGTAGACCCAACCTGACTTGTTCTAGATGCAAAGATCTCTTGCTTGATCCTGGCTTTTTGGATATCGATGGAGTTCTTTTCTTACCTGCTCATTGTGGTATTTTTGTCTTTAAATTGCTATTGCTTTGTCTTTACCACTTCATTTGGTTTTGTTCTTTATTGTTTCTGTTGGGTTTAACAGTTTAGGTGTGGATGCATAGAGATAATAACTGATGTAAAGATTTGTAGGAGATGTAGGGCAGATAAGCGGGGACATGGGGAGCAGTGAGGTGACTTGAGGAGTAAACAGCGAAGGCGGAAGGGGATGGAGCACTAGAACTGAATGATTACGCAGCTCATTTTAAAGGTGATCAAGTCACGGGGGGCGGGGGATGTTCTGAAATTGATTGTGGTAATGATTGTACGATTCTTTTTAACATAATTTAACAATCAAATTGAATGATATGGATTATGTGCCAATAAAACTGAAATAAATAAATAAAAGCTCTTTAGCAATTGCATATATTGTCAGTATCTTCTCCCACTCCATAGCATTCCTTTTTATTCTTTAAGTGGTACCTTCCAATAAAGTTCTTAATGCAAAAAAAAAAGAAAGAAAGGAAAGAAAATACCATGACTTTGGTCAGATGTACCTTAGGCCTCAGAGTAACATCTTTGCTTTTCAGTATTCTAAAGAGGTCTTGTGCAGCAGATTTATCCAGTGCAATGGGTCCTTTGATCTTTTAACTGCTGCTTGCGTGAGCATTGATTGTGGATCCAAGCAAGATGAGGTCCTGTAGTTGTGAGGGTTTTGGTTTTCTTTACATTAAGTTGTAATCTGTACTGCAGGCTACAATCTGAAATCCTTGATCTTCATCAGCAAGTGCTTCAAGTTTTTCTCAGTTTCAGCAAGCAAGGTTGTGTCATATGCATATAGCAGGAGGTTAATAAATCTTTCTCTAATACTGATGCCCCATTCTTCATATAAGCCAGCTTCTCTGATTATTTTCAGAGAACACAAACCTGATTCACAGCTTTCCTGGTTTTAAAGCATGATGTATTTCCTTGTTCTGTTCACACAACTGCCTCTTGATCCATGTACAGGTTCCACGTGAGCACAAAGAAGTGTTCTGGAATTACCATTCTCAAGGCTATCCATAGTTTGTTATGATCTACATAGTTGAATTCCTTTGTATAGGCAATAAAACACAGGTAAACAGCTTTCTGGTATTCTCTTCTTAGAGAGCCAGGATCCATCTGACATCAGCAATGATATCCTTTGTTCTGTGCCCTCTTCTGAACCCATCCTGAACCTCTGTCAGTGTACTGCTGCAATCATTGTTGATCTTCAGCAGAATTTTACTTGTATATGTTATCGTGATATTCTCTCGTTTGCATATTCTGTTGGGTCACAAAGTATGCATCTCTTCCAATCAGTTGGCCAAGTAGCTGTCTTCCAAATTTCTTGGCATCGATGAGTGACAGCTTCTAGTGCTTCAGCAGCTTGTTGAAACAGTTCAGTTGGTTTACTATCAATTCTTGAAGCCTGTTTTTGGTTAATGCTTTCAGTACAGAGTAGACATCTTCCTGTAGAAGAAGTGCATGACTTCCAGCATCACAGCAGCACCTAAACTACCACAGTATGACAAACTGACAGACACATAGTGAAGTGGGGATAATACTATATGTTTACTGAGAAGATTGAGTTAATATATAAAGCATTTAGTATAGTTCTTGTGTGGGGTACCAGCCACCACAATCAAATGGGTCCAAGGACCGATTGTGTAATTGAAGGATCAAATTAAAGACATCAGACAAGATAAGGCATGCAAGGGTTCACCTTCGGGACTGCCATGACTTCAGGAACCAGGTCCGTGCAGAGACAAAGAATATATTTCCATCCAAGGCTTATATACACTTGGGGGGCGTGCAAGCCCCCCTAATTACAGGTAACCACATATGTAACAAAGTGGGCTGTACCCTACCCTAAAGGTCCTGAATATATTGGAGGAGTACCCTAACACCAGTGTCCAGGGCAGGTAAAGGGGTGTGGCTGTCTCAGAGCCTGGAGAGCAATAGCTTATGTCTTCTTTATAGTAAAGCTGCAGGCTACATAGCAATCAGCCACGTGCTTGGAACAAGGTAACTTTAAGGTAGCACTATTATGGGAGGATATAGTGGGGAGCAGTATTAATTACGAGAATGTGATTGGGACTCACCTCCAACTCACAAGGGTGAAGGCCTCCCTCCACCCCAGAAACCCAGCCTGTCAGGCTTCTTAATATATGAGAATAAAAGATTCATCCGTATACACTGTCTTCCCTTTCTCTGCTTCCCACATACTAAGTCTGTCGTAAGCAGTCAAATGCTACCTGAAGTTTTCTTGCTTTTTTATTTGGTGGGTTTTTAATTTTTTTACCATTATTTTCATTAAGTGCTGGTTAGTTCTCCATGAAAGCATGTTAAGTCCCACATATTCCACATGGCTATTTGATTTCCCCTGTTATCTCTTGGCTACCTACAGACCTATGGATTTAACTAGCTTGAAGAGGAATCTGTCTAAGGGACGGATTCGCACCATGGCCCAGTTTCAGCGGGACCTAATGCTGATGTTTCAAAATGCTGTGATGTACAATGACTCTGACCATCATGTATACCACATGGCTGTGGAGATGCAGCAAGAAGTCTTGGAACAGATTCAGGTACTGTATATAGAAAGCTGGGGGGGGGGAAATAGTCTCTGGAATCTGATTTCACAAAGTCTTTGAGAATAAGGGTGACATTAAGATGAACTGTGTACCCAAGGCACTGCAGGACTGACATTGGAAAACCCTGAGCATCAGTAGGTTCAGCTGTAACAAGGGAAGAGAGAGATCAACACTGAGACACTGAACGGAGATAGGGTTGAGACATGAGACAAAGAACGTGAGGTTAAGAGCTGCTTTATTAGGGTAGGGAAAGAGCTCCCGGGAGAGAAGGGAGAGCAGAGACAGGGACAGGAGCATCTTGAGCTCCTGGCTGGTTCCGAGACCCAACAAGTTAGGTCAGGGAAGTCGCAGCTTGTTGGTGAAGCGGTGGGAGATACATAGGGCTCGAGCTAGGGAGGTATACGTTGACAACAGAAGGGAGATTTTTTTGCTTGCAGCTGCAGGACCTTGAGTCAGGACGCAATCTGTGGGAAGTGCCTTTGTTGTTTGCCAACCTACTCCCTGGAGTGCTGGGGCAGGGGCTGCACAACCTTGGTCTGGAGAGATAAGCTCCTTGGAATGCTGGGGCAGAAGATGCAGACTTCAATAGGTCATTTATCCTCCTGAGAGGCTGGAAATGGGGTCCTTGAAGGTCTATCCTCAGGAGCCAGAGAGGAGATGGGGCTGCCTAGTCCGAGCCCGGCGAAAACAGGAAGTAGTCCAGGGAGGCTGGCAGCAGTGAAGAGCTCTCTAAAGAGATGGGAAGAGACATAATGGGAAGTTCTGCTTCCAGAGCTTCAAGTCAGAGGGCTAGACGTGCAGCCCAGAGGCTAGGTTCACTGACCATGATTCTGTTTCCTACATCTGTTGTTACTAATGTACCCTCACAATTTTCTCATCTTTAGTCTGTAAAATATATAGGAGTTAGAAGAGGACAATTGAGGATTGCTTTCTGGGCAGTATCATACTTTAAAGAAAGAAGTATAATCAAATTTATGTGTAGAAGAAAAAATGAAATTGCATTCTAAACTCTTAAGTTTTAAAATTCATAGCTTGCTGTCTGTATCTTGACCCCGTAGGTGCTGAGTATTTGGTTAGATAAAAAAAGAGATTTAAGTAGTCTTGAATGAGGACCACGCAACGCGGTGGATGATGGAACACCTGTTTTGTTAACCTGGAACTGCTACACAGACCTTTACTGGCATTTGGACCTGTCCTTGAGACTGACCCAGAGAAGATTTCAGTCCTTGTTTGCCATTTCTCTCTTTTGTTTTTTATTTTTCCTCCCCCCACCCCGCCCCTTTTAACTTATTTCAAAGAAGTTAAAGATACCTGTAACATAAAGAGGGGGGAAAGCTGAGATTTGGGTTTATACCACAATTATTGCCCACATCTTTGTCCACAGGCTTAATTTAGAGGTGACTAGATTAAACCTGTTGTTACAGATCTATAAATAAATGTTATTTCACAAACTGCATATTGCTTTTTAAGTGAGTAAAGAAACTAGGGATAAAAGGACAGTGTGGTCTGGTGAAATGAAAACATTTGACGTGATTTACTAGCATGTATTATCTGGGGTGGGTAGGATGGGGAAATGCCTTTGATTTGTGTCCTCATTTGTAAAACCCAGAAAACCAAACCAAAGTCAGAATCGACTCAACATGACCTGATAGGATAAGGAAACCGGAAGGTTTCCAAGTCTGTAATCTTTCTCACCCCAGGACCTTTTGGTTATAGCAGCAGAACTCTTAACCCCTGCACCACCGGAACAGTTCACTTGTCAGGATAATTGAAGTACCCGTATCCCTAAAATGAATAAAACGCAAATCCACTGCCACTTAGTTGATTCCGACGCATATAGGATTTCTGAGGCAATAAATCTTTACGTGAGCAGATAGTTTCTACTGTCGTCTTTAGAGATGCTGGTGGGCTTGAATCACATATCTTGACTCAGGTTCAATGAAGTACGATAAATGTTGAATAAAATGTAAAAAATTTGTTTTAATGTAGTTCTCTAAATATTTTGCAAGGGTAATAAAAAATATCTGGTGAGTTAGTTTCATTCTTGGTTAGGAGAAGGGAGGAGGGAGGAAGAGTAGTGTAGTGCTAGAATTGGCCCTCTGCAGCCACCGTTTTTTTTTTTTTTTTTTTAAGCTGGGCTTTCTGGTTTCCTAGCAACAAATGTGTTACCAAGCAGGTGAGTTCCTCCGGTGGGAGCAGCCCAGAGGACACAAGGACACTCTCCGGTCTTTCATCGTCCTGCTTCAAAACAAGCAGTTAAAATAATCAATTGCCCTGGTGACACTAAGGTAGGCAGTTACCAAAGACTGCTTACCTGCCGTCCCGCCTCCCTGCCCAGCTCCCCTTCTTCCCTTGCTCTTCCCTAATCCCTGGCCTTCCCCAAGCCCTGGGCCCTCCCCTCTGTGCTGCGTCCTTCTGGGCATGACCTGCCGCTTTGTAGGTCACACCACGGAGACAACAATTTTAGAAAAATGGGATTCAAAAGGCTTGTGGTAAAAATTAGTTAAAAGATTCTGGAATTTTCCCACAAATTTTTCAAAGCCTTGTCATTTACATATAAAACTGATTTATAAATTAAAATCAAGCGCCTAATACTGCTTCTCTTAATCACAGTTACATTAAATTGGGCAGGGGGGCTACTGTCATTGCAGTTGATACCGGTCAAGAAGCTCTTAAAAGCCACGATGGAGGTAGCAATGCCCCCACCTCAGATATATGTCGAAAAAACTCTGGCCATTATCAAACCAGATATTGTTGACAAAGAGGAGGAGATACAAGATATTATTCTCAGATCTGGATTCACCATTGTGCAGGTAACTTGGCATGATGATCAAGCCTTTTTCTCTTTTTGATCCTTTATTTTATTTTTATTTTTCTTGGGCACACATGATGTCTTTCATTTTTTCTTTTTTTAAATTGTTTTATTAGGGACTCATACAACTCTTATCATAATCCATACATACATCAATTGTGTAAAGCACATTTGTGCATTCATTGCCCTCATCATTCTAAAAACATTTGTTCTCCACTTAAGCCCCTGGCATCATGTCCTCTTCTTTTCTCCTCCCTCCCCGCTAACCCTTTCCTCATGAACCCTTGATAATGTATAAATTATTTTGTCTTTTTGATCCTTTAAAAAAATCTTTGTTGAACTTTATTTTCATGTACTTTTTTTAAAGCCATTTTGCTGGCATGCAGTTCAAAAGTTCAGTCACATCATGAAGAATTGTGTAATCACAGTCAGTTTTAGAACAGTGTAATAATCCACTTTAATTCTTAGTCTTGAGTTCTACATTTAGATTTATTCCTTTTTTTTCTTTCCCTCCCCTCTCTCTGCCCCCCCCCTAGATTTATTCTTGAAGTGATAAAATGTGATAATTGTTTTTAAAAACATGCATGCTTCAAAATGATATAAAAGGGGGGCTGGAGGGAAATTCCCTTCTCCCACCCCAAGTCTCAGTTTCTAGAGGCAATCACTACTTTCTGTTCTTCCAGAAGTTGTTCATAAGCCCTTTTCCCTCTTGAATTAGAATCATTTTTCTCTCAACCCTCCCTGCACTTTTTACAAAGTTCCTCAGAACTCCATGTACTACACCTGAGTGGATCTCACCCTTCCTGACTGCTGTGTGAGATTCTCATGTGTGGGTGACCGTCTTTTCTTCACTTTACAAACAATTCTCTGAATGGTGGTTGAGGTTGCTGCTGGTGGTGGAGGTTTGTTTTCTCTTCAAGCTGATATGCTCCACTATGGACATTTTGTTCTACGGTTGGTAAGTATTGTCACTGAAGCTTGTAAGTGGAAATAGAGTATTGAGTATTAACAAATAGAATTGATTTTTTAATCTCCCTTTTCGTACCATCCTTTAAATTTCCAGTTTTTTATTTTCTTAAATTTATAGTGTCATAATGCCTGTTTAGTCAGTGTTTTAAAAGTACATTAGTATTCAGGAAAGATAAAACGATATCAGTTGAGCTTTGAAAGTTTGTTAAAAGCTGAGACTAAGGATGAAACAAGAAAAGTGTAAAGAAACAACAGGAAAGTATAATGGAATCTTTTTTTCTTTTTTTTTAAAGGAAACCTTTCACTGAAAGGAGCAGGTAAAAATGAACCTTTTAATGGTATTAGGACAACTGGGTAGCCTTTTTTTTTTTTTAAAGTATAATTCAAGTGCTATGTACCAGGATAAACTTCAAAGAGATCTGAGACTTAAATATTTAAAACCATATAAGATCTCAAAGACAAGATTATTGGATTTTTTATTATCCTTACATTGGGACAGCCCTTTGTATTATAACATAAAGTCTGAGGACTGATAAAAGACTAAGATTATAGAAAATTCTAAAAATTCATGATCAAACCCTATAAGCAAGGTCAAGACAGAAAAGGAAAACTTGGGAAAAAAGATACTCGACTCGTGCTATAAAGGACCGATACCCCTAATGGAGAACAAGTTCCTAGAAAAAAAGAGTTCAGTAGGAAAATGTGGCACAGGAAAACAAACAAATGGCTCGTGGTGGGGGTTGTTGATTTCCACCAACACCAACCCCTGTGACAGGGCAGAACTGCATCCCAGGGAGGGTTTTCTAGGCTGACAGCCAGGTCCTTCTCCCATGCAGCCACTCCAACCCCAAACCTGAACTCACTGCCATTGAGTCAATTCCACCTGATGGTGACCTTACAGCCCAGAGTACAACTGTCCCTATGGGTTTCTGAGACTGTAACTCGTTGTGGGAGTATTACAGGAGTAGAAAGCCCTGTCTTTCTCCTGTGGAGTGGCTAGTGGTTCAAACTGCTGACCAACATGTAACCATCACACTATGCCACCCAGGCTCCCCCCCAGAGCCACTAGATGAGTTCAAATCACCAGGCTTTCACTCATTTATCCACCAAGTGCTTCACTGTTGTATCACAGGACATCTTAAATGTATAAAAAGATGCTCAATCTTTAAGTAGGAAAAAGCAAATTAAAAGCAACCATTCAGCTAAACTCTAAAAGTAAGTGACACTGTCCCTCTTGAAGGGAATCTGGCAATTATTTACCAAGATTACAATGCATTCACTCTTCGACTCAGGGAGGCATTCCTGTAGAAACTCTGGTATTAACATGAAATGGTATACTGCTGGTTGTGTTTTGGTGTGTCTGGGTGTTTCACTATTGTTCACTTAGTACAATCCTACTTGGCCATACATGGGGTTGCCATGAATCAAAATCAATTCAGTATCAACTGCTTAGATGTGTTTGTTTACTAGTTAAAGATTGAAAACAATCTAGCAGTATTGAACCAGAAGATTGGTTCAATAAACCCTGAATCCACAAAGTGGAATATACAATTAAATTTTAAAAGATGAATGAGAAACTCTCTATGTCCTGTTAGGAAGGAATGAAAAAAAAAGATAACCTTTTGTGAAAGAAAGAGGAAAAATAATATGTATTTAGTGTTTGTCAGTATTTGCAAAATGAAACATGGGGAGAAGGATTTTTAAAAATGGTTGCCTATTGAGGTCAGAGAAAAACAGGGTAGATTAGGATGAGGTTTTTAGGATATATGTACCTTTTTTAAAAAAAATCATTTTATTAGGGGCTCATGCAACTCTTATCACAATCCATACATACATCAATTGTGTAAAGCACATTTGTACATTCATTACCCTCATCCTCAAAAATGGATATACCTTTTTATATTGCTTTGAATTTTTTTTGAACCCTTCCATTGGTGGTTCAGTGGTTAAGTGAATGAGACCTGGTTTTGATTTTTGACGAATATAACTCAGGTACAGTGGGGACTACTGTGTTGCTATGATGCTGAATGGGTTTTGATGGTCCTTCCAGACGAAGAGAGACTAGTAAGAAAGGCCTGGTGATCTACTTCTGAAAATCAGCTAATGAAAACCTTACAGATCACAATGATCTGATCTACAGCCAATCATGGGAGTGGGTCAGGATCGGGCAGTGTTTCACTCTATGTGTACAAAGTCAACATGAGTCAGATGGAATACAAAAAGATATGTAAATTCCTTTAATTTCAAAAAGGACAAATCTATATTTTAAACACAATTAGTATCAAACTTGTTATGAAGTGGCTCATGTTAATTAATTATAAGTTAGTATAAATATTAATAAACACTTGCTCTAGTCAACAATAAATTTCAGGTCAAAGAAATCTAGGGTGCAGCGTATGCTTTTTAAGAGGATAGGGAGAAGGTGGGGAGAGAAGGGGAGAAAGGGGGATCCAATCGCAATGAACCGCATTAAACACCCCCTCTCCCTCCCCTAGAGGGATGAACAATAGAAAAGTGGGGGAAGGGAGACTACAGTGGTCGGTGTAAGATATGAAAATAATAATTTAGCATTTATCAAGGGATAGCGAGGGGGTAAGGAAAAAAGAGGAGCTGATACAAAAGGCTCAAATAGAAAGTAAATGTTTAGAAAATGATGATGGTAACATGTACAAGTATGCTGGATACATTTGATGTATGTATTATTATAAGATCTGTAAGAGCCCCCAATAAATTGATCTTTAAAAACCAATAAAATCCTTACTTTAGTTGAGAATTCATAGAACTTGAGGCTTCCATATCCCATTCCATATCCCATCTAGGAAAAAGTATGTATCCTGGATTGTTGTAAACTTGTTATGGCGGATTGAACCATGGTATATTTTATGTGGTCAATTGACCTCCCTCTTGACCCAACCTGAATTTGCTGCAGGCTTAAATATTTCTCATTTGTTCCGTGACAGAAATTTCTTCTCCAGCTTTTTAAATACTGTTGGTGGTCTTTTCTTCCTTACTCTTTATCTTTATCCTATTAATAGTCGTATTTTTTGTTTTTTTCTGTTTCATTAAAACATTTTTTTATTGTTTCTGTTGGGTTTCACAGTTTATGAAGCACAGCGGTGGGTGCGTGGAGAGTAAATGATGCAATGGGTTGGGGTTGGGGAGAGAGAGGAAAGGGGGAGCAAATAATGACTGCAGGATTGGAAAGGGAACACTCAAAGTGATTGCGATGATGTATGCACAACTCTTTTTAAAAGTGACAACTGTGGAAGTATAATATGTGAATATTATATCAAGAAAACTACTTAAAAAAAAGAAAAAGTGGACCGATGGTGACCATGGGTGAAGGAGGAAGAGTTTTTGCTTAGGGGGCACTGAGTTAATGATGGTAGAATACTTTGGAAAAGGATATCAATAATAGCTGCATAACACGGAGAGTATAGTTATGGCACTGAGTTAATACATGTAGAAGTTGAATTGGAGAATATTTTGTGTATATTTATGCCACAATTAAAGATAATTACACTAAAAACAATGAGTACAAGAAAGAAGAAAATGTTCTAAAATTTATTGTGGAGAAGGTTGTACAAACCTTGATATGAGTGAACTATTGACTTGTACGATATGTGGATGAAGTACCAGTAAAACTTTTAAAAAAATGAATAAAATGGTCAAAGGAGAAAAAAGTATCTTTTCAGTAGGTGGCAGTGTTTCCTCTGTTAAAAACATTGCATTACTGATAGTATTTGATTTTCATCATTTCTCTTGTGAAAACATTCAACCTAATTCCAAAAAATTTTACCTGATATAACTTTAAAGCAATCGATAGGATCATTGATTTGGTATCAACTTTAGTAGTTAATGATGAATTATTAATTTTTTTAAAATTATGCTGCTTTATTGAGCAGACCTGCATTAGTTAACTTTCCCTGCTATATATAGTACATTGCCACAGGGGAGAGTTTATTCTTAAATCTACCAAAGGGGAAAATCAGCCAGTATGTATAAGAATCATAAATACTATCATGTCTTCATTTTTTTCATTATCTTTTTTAAAATACTTTTATTGGGGGCTCTTACACATTTTAAATAATAGAACTAAAGATTGAAATAAACCATCCAGAAACTGACTGCCAATCATGTGAGTTCTGATTCATAATGACCTACATAGAATTTGTGAGGCTATACATCTTTACAGGTATAGGTAGCCTCATCTTTCTCTCGAGGAGTGATTGGTGGGTTTGAACTGCTGTCCTTGTGGTTAGCCATCTAAAGCTTGCCCGACAGCACCACATCCCGTTAGAATTCTATGTGAATTTTCATATAAGAACATCAGTTTCAAAGTGGCTGAGCCTTCGTTAAGAATGTTCTGCTTGCCCATCAGACCCTGGTCATAGCAATGTTTGCTGACTCACCTAGTAAAGTGTCTTTCCTAGCTTTATATTCTGGGCAGTTTAGATCTTTTGGTATGAACCAAGCAATGCTACCTATTTTCTCAAATCTAAGGGACCATTGTAATTCTGCATTTTTTTTTAAAACATTTTATTAGGGGCTCATACAACTGTTATCCCAATCCATACACACATCAATTGTGTAAAGCGCATTTGTACATCGTTTCTCAAAACATTTTCTCTCCATTTAAACCCCCGACATTAGGTCCTCAGTAATTCTGCATCTTAACACACTGGTCACTTGATGAGCTTCATACTCAGGAAAACCTCCCCTATTTTAGAAAGGTGGATTTTTACTTTAGTCGTGGAGATTGTTAGTTTAAGCTTAACAATGTATTCCAGCTTCTCCCCATCCTTACTCCAGCCACAGTTCTTCCTTAGTGTCCACTTGGAATCTCTCTATGACATTTATGTCACCAGAGCCCAAAATAGTGTAGGCAAATTTCATGATTAACAAAAGATAAATGGAAAAAATCTGAAGTTCAATTTTGCTACTTTAAGGTATACAAAACTCTCATTGCCATCAAGTCAATGGTAACTCACAGCGCCCCCATGTGGATTTTCGAGATTGTAACTACTGACAGGAGTAGAAAGCCCAGTCTTCCTCCCACAGAACAGTGCTGGTGGTTTTGAACTGCCCACTATGCAGATCACAGCCCAATGGGTAACCACTACACTACTGCGTGAGAAAATACTGATACATGCACTAGAATTGAAGGAGATATGATGACTTTGTCATAAGCCATATGCTGAGGAAGGCTGCAGAACTGGAATAGTATTTCTTAAGTAGGTAACTTCTCCATATAATCCTACTTAAAGGCCATATTCCATTTTTTTCTATTCCTTCACAATACAAAGAGAAATCTCAAATTTGATGTCAAATCGATACTAATTTCAAGTTTTTAATAACTGAATGAGGTATTTAACTGTTCTTTTTAATACTTTTGGTGACTTTGTTTCTCTTACAGAGAAGAAAACTACATCTCAGCCCTGAACACTGTAGTAATTTTTATGTGGAACAGTATGGGAAAATGTTCTTCCCAAATTTAACGGCTTACATGAGTTCTGGACCACTTGTCGCCATGATATTAGCTAGACATAAAGCCATCTCCTACTGGAAAGAGCTTTTGGGACCAAGTAATAGCTTAGTCGCTAAGGAAACACATCCAGACAGGTAATTTTCTTAGGGGAAAAAGAAGGAATTGATTTATATGTGAAAATGAAAAAAAAAAGTTATTATTGTAGTTAGAATTTCCTTTAATTTAGAAGCTTTTCTAAGTTTGTGTGTGTGTGTGTGTTTAAGGAGGGGGTTCACTTTAGATTGTAACCATTTAAATGTATAACTTTTTAAAAAAATCATTTTATTGGGGGCTCGTACAACTCTTAGCACAATCCATACATTCACCCATTTTGTCAAACACATTTGTGTATTTGTTGCCATCATCATTTTCAAAACATTTTCTTTCTACTGGAGCCCTTGGTATCAGCTCCTCATTATTTTTGTCCCTTCCCCTCTCCCTCCCTTATGAACCCTTGATAATTTATTAATTTTTTTTTTCATGTCTTACACTGTCTGATGTCTTCCTTCACCCACTTTTCTGTTGTCTGTACCCCAGGGAGGGGTTTATATGTAGATCATTGTAATAGGTTCTCCCTTTCTCCCCCATCTTCCCCTTACCCTACTGGTATCGCTATTCTCATTATTGGTCCTGAAAGGGTTTTCTGTCCTGGATTCCCTGTGTTTCCAGTTCCTATCTGTACCAGTGTACATCCTCTGGTCTAGTCAGATTTATAAGGTAGAATTTGGATCATGATAGTGGGGAGGAGGAAGCATTCAAGTACTAGAAGAAAGTTGTATGTTTCATCGTTGCTACACTGCACCCTGACTGGCTCGTCTCCTCCCCGCGACCCTTCTGTAAGGGGATGTCCCGTTGCCTACAGATGGGCTTTGGGTCTCCACTCCGCTCTCCCCATCATTTACAATGATATGCTTTTTTGTTCTTTAACACCTGATACCTGATCCTGTCTACACCTCCTGATCACACAGGTTAGTGTGCTTCTTCCATGTGGGATTTGTTGCTTCTCAGCTAGATGGCTGCT